GTCTCCACATGGGATCCGAACCCTCGGCGGGAGCGCCGCTGCACTCCCAAGCGGCGCACTCCCCAGTGTGCCACCGGGCCGGCCCTGAACAGGAATTATATTTTTGTGACACACAAAATTCAAACAAGTAAAAAATGATACATAATGAAAAAAAAAAAAACTTCCATCTACCTTGTGCCCCTGCTGTCCAGCTCCCCTCTCTGAAGGCAACCAATATTATTAGTTTCTTATCTGTCATTCCAGAGATAGCTTGTGAACATTCAAGCAATCATCAAGGAATACACATTTAAAAGAACATCATGAACCTGTTTCACAATATAGCATTTGCAAAAAATAAAATCTTATAGTAATTTTTTTTATCAAAAGTGTAGGGGCCGGCCCAGTGGCGCACCGGATAGTGCGCCGCTTGGGAAGCGCGGCGGCGCTCCCGCCCGAGGGTTCGGATCCCACATACAGACCGGTTCCCGCTCACTGGCTGAGCAAGGCGCGGGAGCAGCACTGAGGGTTGCAATCCCGTTGCCGGTCCCCGGTCCGGTGCGGGGGCGACACTGAGGGTTGCAATCCGTTGCTGGACACAGAAAAAGACAAAAGACCAAAAAAAAAAAGTGTCAAAAAAGTTATGAAATACAAATAGAAGGTACCACTAAATTTTTTTAATGTTATCTATTGTAAGTTAAAAATAAGCATTTTCATCAATGAATTTTTTTTTTTTTTTGCAGCTGGCTGATAGGGGGATCCAAACCCTTGACGCTGGTGTTGTAACACTGTGCTCTAACCAACTGAGTTAACCAGCCAGCCCTGATGTTTGAATATTCTGTAGAACTTCAGAAAAAAATTAATTGATATGAGCAAATCATTGCAATTTAGATTTTCAGTCCTTGCTGGTTGCAAAACATATTTACTGAAATGAGAATGCAGCTTTTTGGAAAGTTTATAAATCAAGGCAGTAACATTTTGGCTAACAAAGCTTCAACTGTTTCACATACCAAGTTTTAATAATTTACTTAAAATGCAAAATTCATAGCTTAAAGGATAGTTTCCAGGGTTTTATTAATCTTTCAGAACTAGAATGCTTTCCCCTAATACTGGAAACAAGGCAAGATGTCTGCTCTCATTACTCCTGTTTAGTATTGTATTGGAAGTCTAAGCCAGGGCAATAGGGCAAAAATAATAATAGTAATAATAGGCATACAAATTGGAATAAAAGAAATAAAATTGTGTCTATTTATGTAGAAAATTCCAAAGAATCTACCAAAAAGCTACTTGAACTAAGTGGGTTTAGCAAGGTCTTAAGATACAAAGTCAATGTACAAAATTACTGTATTTCTGCATGCAGTCATCCCTTGGTATCCATGGGGGATTGGTTCCAGGCCCTCCTGCAGATACCAAAATCCACAGATGCTCAAGTCCCATGTTTAAAATGGCCTGGTATTTGCATATAACTTATACACATCCTCCCCTGTACTTCAAATCATTTCTAGGTTACAGTGAAAATGCTGTGTAAATAGTTTTATATTGTACCATTTAGGGAATAATGATAAGAAAAAAAAGTTTGTACATGTTCAGTGCAGACACAATTTTTTTTTTTTTCTTTAATATTCTCTATCTACAGTTGGTTGACTCCACAGATTTGGAACCCACAGATACAGAGGGCTGACTATTAGCAATGAACAACTGGTAATCAAAATTTTGGAAAATCAAGACAGGATTATAAAGGCAAAATATCTAAAATGGTATTGTTATTTTATAGAAGCTGAGAGCAGATTTAACACTGAATATCACTGCTGTTAAGAAAAATTATTTTCTTAGGAAAACAAGTTACCTATTAACTATCACTATAATGGAGAAGTCATGTGATACAGCTCCTCATGTCAGCTCATGGCTCAGCCAGGAGCAGCATTTAGCTAAATATAGTTATGTCAGACAAAGTTCACAGCAGAATATCAAAAAGCATGAATAAGTTATGTGGAAATTATTAGAGTCTTTCGAACAATTTATACTACAGTTTATATTACTTGGTAAAGTGTTATAATGCATATAGTCAAAGAATAAATGGAAATATTTGTAAATTTTAAATTTCCATATCAATATTACCTTGCTGGTTGTTAAATAGTTTGAATGTACATTCTTTTTCTCCCTGCTTACTGTTCATTTTTTGACTTCCCTTTTTTCTACTTAACAGTATAGCTTTGAGATCATTCCCAAATCTTTATGTAAGAGATTATTTGTTCTTTTTGGTGACTGTATTAGTCTATAGTGTACCATAATTTATTAACCAGTTCCCTACTGAAGGTCATCTAGGTTGTTTTCAGCTTTTTGCTATTTAGAAACAATGCTGGTATTAAATTAAAAGATCCAAAGCTCTTCTCAAGCCTTTTTATAGTACATCACATATGATTTTGGTCTGATGGATAGTATACCACTTGAGAGGTTTATAATATATTAAAACCTTACCCTCATTTTTTTTTCAATTTTGTTGGGTTTCTTTTGCTGGCTGGCCAGTACTGGGATCTGAATCCTTGACCTTGGTGTTACAAGGCAGCGCTCTAACTGGCTGAGCTAACCGGCCAGCAAAACCTTACCCTCTTATAATTGACTTTCCTTTTTTTCTTTCATTCCTTTTTTGCAGCTGGCCAGTACAGGGATTGAATCCTGGACTTTCATGTTGTCAGCATCACGTTCTCCCCAGCTGAGCTAACTGGCCAGCCAACTTTCCATTTTTCCATCAATTTTTTTAACCTTTTTTTTTTTTTTTTTGCCACAGTATTAGGGTAGTTTCTATAACAATATTTTTAATCTTACCCGTGATGAGTGTTACCTTTGTCTTCCTGCAGTGTGAAGATTGCTCCTGGAGCAGTTGTATGTGTAGAAAGTGAAATCAGAGGAGATGTAACTATTGGTAAGAAAATAGTTTATTAGTATTGTTTCTCAAAAATTGATGTGATTTAATGTTTCAGTGCTTTTCAATTAGGTATTATCTTCTATGTCTATTTTACCGATGTCCTAATTTTACTGACAAAACAATGTATTTTCTCCCATGTGTTTAATATTTCTGAAAGAATATAGTGTGTTGGAGACTGTGTTTAATCTCCTATTTCAGTTCCAATGAGGCAGTGTAACAAAGTCATTCATTATTGGAGAAAGATCTGCTGTGTACCTGCGATGCATCGGGCACTGTGCTAGTGCTAGGGACTCGGAATTGAGCACAGCAGACTAAGGAACTGCCTCTGTGGAGCTTATATCCTCCTGAGTCCTCGTTCTGGACTGTGTGGACTGTGGAGTCCACAGATCTGGGTAGCTGACAGTGCTCAGTTCTAAGAGTTAACGTGTAACATGATATTTCAACACAGATTTTCCATTATAGCATAAGAAAAGTGGTAATAAACTGTTTTCTGCGTTAAGTAGCAATAAACTCAAGTATAGCTTAATTGATAAATTTTTCAGAATATTTTTGCAACTTTCCATCCTGTAGTCACTTGCAGTTTTACGAATTATTTCATTTTGAAATATTTCAGGAAGAAAGTAATTTTTTCCTTTGCTGTGTTTCAGGTTAGTGGAACTTTAAACCCAATCTTCTATTTTTCTAGAAAATATTCAGTTTATCAAAGAAACTAGTCAGAAGCTTGGAAATGTAATCCTTAACCAGAAGTGCTTTGACTTGAAGATCTGCTGGAGCCTGATCCCCCTCATTAGAGGCTGCTCAGAAACAGACCTTGGGAAAAGTAACAGCTCTCTTGTTAATTATAATTTGGGTAAATACGGTTTCATAGCTTCAAGTCTGTTTTTAATTAGGCTGTCTTGATTCATGGGCCATGAATTATTTCCCATGAATCTTTATTTTGAGAGCCGAAGAACATTTCAGAAAGGTACCTCTAAGCACAGTCCTGTGCTCCGTTATAGGGTGCAAGGCAGACCCTGGTGTCGGGAGAGGACTTAGTTGGGACGTCATAATGTGAAGGCAGAACTCGGTGCAATGGAAGCACTTTCTGCTGAAAGCGCTTTCTGCTGGAAGCCCTTTGTCCCACTTATTCATTCTCTCCAGGGGAGTTTTAATGCAGATCAAAAGCTTCCCATTTTGTAGGAATCTTTTTCAGTAATGCAGAACAGTGGCTTTGACTTGAGAAATCATCGCATGTAAGGCAGTTTTTACAGGTACCTCAGCTTACAGGTCAAGGGAATTGCTTAATTTTCAAAAGAGAAAGCTTGTGGCTTTTTGAATTATTTACTGACACATGAAAAAGTGCACAAAGATTCCTTTCTGTGGCAAAGATAGACAGGAAAAGTGTCCTTTACCAAATGAGGGAGATGGAAATGTGATGCGAGGTATGTCTTTCTGGCTATGTTGGGTCAAGCCCAGCCAACCATTTAGAAAAATAACTCACCAGCCAGTAAGGCAGCCTCAGCTCAGACACATTTATCCAAACAAGGACATGAGCCAATAGGGTTTCAGCACATTTGGTAAGAAAATACACAAACTACACTGCCAGGAAGGGCACCAAGAAGGTTCACAACAGGCTTTTTAAAAAACTTTCCATGGTGACAGATTTTTATTTTTAAAGTACTTTAACCTCAAGACCCTTAAACTGGTTTTGAAAGTGCTCGTGGCATGCAGAAAAACGTGGAGCAGGCTGTGCCCACACTTCAGTGTGCTGTCACCAACAGCTCGAACTGCAGGTGCTCTGCTGCCTGACCTGCAGCTAAAACCAGAGAGAAGTTCACAGACAAAGCTGAGTTAGCTGCGTTGTTCACTGAAGTCACAGAAGTTCACCAAATTTTAAGTTCACCAAACCAAAATCTTAGCTGTCACAAATCCTGAAGTACATGTATGCTGACCTTGCCAGTCTGTGCCCAACAAAGACCTGCAAGATATTTAAGGGAATTGTTCAGTTTATTATGGCCCATGACATTTTCTGTCGTCTCACAACTCAAAAGTTCATAGTTTCACCTCAGGTTATTTCAGCCCCAAAACACCAGGACCTGCAGTTTGGCAATACTGCCAGCAGGTGGCGATGGTGTCCAAGTCGCAGGTCTCGCCTAAGCTGCTGCTGTGCTTTTACCTCCCAGGGCAAGGCCCTCATTTTATAACCTGGAGTATTCCAGATGCTTATTAAATAGCTTACTAATAATAATATTAAAATAATAATAGCACTGGTAAAACACCTGGTTAAAATATCTCAGGCATTATTTTTAAATATTGTGTAAAACATGTTACAGGATGGGATTATTTTAATTTTTTTTAATTGTTTGGATTTTTAACATAAGAAACATGTATTACTTTTTTACTTATTTATTTTGATGGCTGACGGTACAGGGATCAAACCCTGGACCTTTGTGTTATCAGCACCATGCTCTAACCAACTGAGCTAACCAGCCAACCCACTTACGTCATATCTGAAAGGTAAAAATGAGAATATCAGTTGTTTTCAAAAATACAGTTTATAGGAACTTTTAAAGAAACACACAGGTCCCAGTGGTACTTTCATCTTATTGATCCATCCTCGTCAAAAGCTACAACTGGAGGGCCAGGAGAATATCTAGTGCCTCTGGCCACTTACCCAGCGGTGGCAGCAGATCTGCCTCCTGTCACAGCCATGGTCATCTCTTCCTCCTGTCTAAGATTTGTAAACCTAGTTATGGAAAATACTTTTATTAGTCTCTTTATTAATATTTTTACTTTCATTAATCTTTTTATAACACGGTATGGAATTTCCCTGCTTGGTTAAAAGGAGGTATTACCTTGATGCCTAGAAAGAGGAGAAAAGCAGTCCTTTTTTTTCTGTTTTTCAGACCAGAACTATTTTGCATATCATGAGTAAGTTATTTGTTAGCTGTTAGTGGCAAATAGTGATGAACCTCCCATTTTTAAGAATTATGGGCAGACCCCATGATCTCCCTTTCAAACATTATTTCATATAATCCACAGTTCAACCCAGTGAGGTAGGTTGTTTACAGATCTCATCTTTTTTTGAGAGAGTAAGCACGTAGCCTTTAAGTGACAGCTTCCAGAGTCTAGACTTTCTGGGCAAGGGTAGGGTGCCGGCTGGGGCTTTAATTACAAGAACTTAAAATAGACAGATTGTGTCCCTTTATCATAGAACATTTTGAAGTAAAATGTAATCTGGTATTGTACAAACTACAGATTTCAGTTGGTTTACACAGCTGAAAAACCTAGAAATTTCTCATTTCAAAGGAATCCGATGTTCATTTAAGCATTGTTTAGCACCTGTCCTCCAAAAATGGCAACATCCAAATACTCATTATTGAGGGATTAGTTAAATAATTTATGTTATATTAATATGATGTGAGATACTTTTCAGCCATTAAAATGAATACCTGTCTAGATATACTTGCATGGAAAAATTACCATAAAAACAAATTGCAGAGGGCCGGCCTGGTGGCGCACTGGATAAGTGCGCCGCTTGGGAAGTGCTGCGGCGCTCCCGCCCGAGGGTTCGGATCCCACATACAGACCGGTTCCCGCTCACTGGCTGAGCGAGGCGCGGGAGCAACACCGAGGGTTGCGATCCCATTGCCGGTCCCCGGTCCGGAACGGGGGCAACACTGAGGGTTGCGATCCGTTGCCGGACACGGAAAAAGACAAAAGACAAAAAAAAAAAAAAAA